TCATCACCTTTTACAAGGAGCAGCATCGTCGCCGTGCCGGTTCGTCAGCGAAAACGGAATCGACCTCTCCACCGTCGACGCAGTTCAGGGTCGCGAAAAGGACGTCGTTATCCTTCTGACGACGAAGACCGACTTCGACCCTGAGAGCTCCGAATTCCTAGACGACCCTCGCCGCATGAACGTCGCCCTCACTCGGTGCCGACATGGTCAGTTCGTCCTAGGCCATCAGCGCTCCCTCGCAGCGGTGCCCTATTGGAACAGCGTTATTACGTGGGCCCGGGCGAACAACGCCGTCATCTCCGCCTCCTCTCTCGGCGAGTACTTACCGTCAGACTGAAGTAAGTCGTTTCTATCTTCGATCTTTCTCTTGGGTCGTACGCCTTTTTTTGGATAAAAAGGGGAGGTATAAGGGGAACAAGCAAAATCGGGCCAAAAACCTTTTTGGATAAAAAGGGGAGGTGTAAGTCCAGGGGACTTAGGCTAGCAGAGGGATACTGTAACTTGATCGTTCGATGACCGTGAGTAATGTTTTGGTTTCAGCGAGCGCGAGGCGAGCCGAGGGACGACGGGCAGAACGGCTGGAGGAGCGACTGGCGGACGGCAGGACACCCGGCGGCAGCTACTGGACCACGACCGACTCACCGAAGGACTACCACCAAGGCTCAATACTCAGTCGGCTGTCAATAAAGCTGCTCTCTATACAGTGTATTCGATCCACACACCTACACAGCAATATACTAGGAAAACATTACACAACGGGTCTTTCATGTAACTCACCACCCTGTGCGAAGTAAACTTTGATTGATCAGCTCAAAAGACGATTGTCTCTTACTATATCCGCCTCTTCGTATACATTACTTCAGCAAAAACTGAACATACCGAGCTTTCTTGTAGCGCTGTTGAAGAGACTCTACAGTTTGCATGAGTGGCTCCAGGAACACTCCGAATGGGGGGTCACATATGAGCAGAACTTGTGAGCACTCCTGAACACATACGATAGAGTTCCAGAATCTTATGCTCAACTCTAGGGACCTTAAACGAGATGCTGAAATGCTTTGCCAGGGGGAGTGGCGAGGTAAACTCACAGCAAAGAAGGCGTCAAGCTTTTTTGAAGCCTTTTTGTCAAAGAAGTGGTCGACAAGCATACTGTACTGAGCGAACTGTCTTGCGGGGAAGAATCGCGCCTAAATGCCGTGAGGTTTAAAGAAATGTGGAAAGACACACGAGTCACGAAAAGTGAATAACCCACGTATCTTTCGTCGTAGTCAAGAAGGAATAAATGACGATTGCTATCTTTCTTTTTCCTTAACACCTCGAAAAGCTGGAAAGAAGGAACATCAGCATCGTTAGAGCTCGTCATCAGTTTACACCTCGGAAATAATAGTCGCTGATCGCAAGAAACGAGCGACCAATGAAGTAGTGCGAACGCACTTTTACAGCATCAATAAGACTTACTCTAGGAGTCCCGAGACAAAGCACGCCATCGACGCCTGATCGCTCAACGGCTCCTTGTAGAACTTCGATTGATTCATTAGAAAAAAAGAATTGCTGAAACAACAGTGCGAAGCCCAAGCGCTCATAAGAGTAAGCACAACTCACTGCTTCTCCACTCTGAGACTCTTTCGCTGCTAAGAGCCGTGATGGACAACGAAGCTGGGCTCTTGAGACAACCTCGGATGGGCATTTATGCTTTGTTTCAAAAACATCTATGCATTCGTGACAGAAGACGAGCACAGAAGATTTTGGAATTGCCTTCAATCTGCAAAATAGACGCTCTTCTTTCCTACAAATTTGATGCTCGTGAATCCTCACCCAGGCTTCTTTCTTCGTTTCGATTCTTCGCTCAGCATCTGGGTGCATTGGGAACAGGGTACAGCATCTTCGTGTGGAACACATGGGGGGGGGGTCGCACTTGCCGCTGGGGAGGGGGGGGTCGTATGTGCCTTTGAGAGAAATTTGCCGCGTTGGGAAAAAATTTTTCACCGGTTGTTGACTTTTCAAGGAGTTTATGGCGCCGCCAAAGTTTTATATAACTACTATTTCCAACAGTTGAAAATACATAGTAGTTGGTTTCTGACGACCCCCCCCCCTCGCTCGACGGAAAACTTTTGGGGAAAAAGTAGCACTCTCTTCTGGGGAAGGGGGAAGTCCATACGACACCACCATTTCACACATAACTATGCTGTACCCTGACTGGGAAGATGTGTGAAGAACTAGTGTTATGAAAATTTCAGCACTATTCGAGCTATCTCAAAACGAGCCACTTTGTCTAAAAGCGTTAGTCGCTGGTCTAAAAAGCGACAGTCTGCATTACGAGAACCTCCAACCCACAGAATTCTGCTGGATTAATGCTTTTCGTCCAAATAACAACAAAGCAATCTCATAAAATTGTTCACTGCCGATTCAATGCCATCTAAGCCCTTTTGATGCTTTCCAAACCACAAATGGGTAGCTACGGTGTAACATGAAAAAAATGTCACAAGAATGACGAGTTGCGGGCACTGCACCTCAAGCTTCCCGGGTGAGTGGGCTATCCGTTACGCCACCAGGGATACTCTTTACCGTCTCAGCCCAGTGGCATCTGCGCCATGGCCTCACAGCACTCGCGCGTTTAACGTGATAAGCCAGTCAGCCAATATCGCTAGCGAAACGCGAGGCTGAGGGCTTTATATATTTCGAACTTGTTTTATTATTACAGTTAGAAACAGCAGTAAATTCAAAATCTGGAAACTTATGTGTTCGCCGACTGCAACTAGGAGGTCTCTCTGAGGTACTACTAACAAACTGTGTCGCGCATGAAATCGGAGAACAGAAGGATCGACTAAAGGTCGAATCTGTTTCTGCCGTAAGATCTGGTTTAGAGTGTGGATTTATTTTCGAAAGAATGGAAAAGTGGGAGATGAACAGAAGGTAAACATGTTCAACGATTGCGACAGGACAGACAGAGAGGAAACATGTAGAGTGCGAGGTACATGTGGTTGCGTACTGCCTTTGAGATCGTTGCACTGAGCTAGCAGAGTTCTAGTGAAGTGAGCAACATAGTACAGTCCAGATGGCCAAAATCCCTTTGGTCTGTAAATGGGCTCTGGAGCTACTGTAACGTGACATCTGAACTTTTGTCCATGGTCCTGTTGCGAAACCAAGAAACGCAGACAGTACAGGACAGCGCCTGCCAAAGCATCGAGACGTGCAAGAAACTATGGCGAGCCAGGAAACGATCTTCCTCAAGGAGAGGGGACCTTGCAGTGGGTCAGCCACTTATCATAGTTGGGATGTGCTAGGCCACAATGACCATATAGTGCCGCACGGATGAGAGACAGTAGAGAAAAACACTAGTTCGACGCGTTCAAAGAAATTGAGTTGTAGTTGTACGTAGATCTTGGATCTACGGACTTTTGACACGCCTCCCAATCCCTTTAAACTGTGACATGCCTTCCCATCACCAATATTTCACACTTGTGATAAAGTGCTGAAAAATGGTTACAATTCTCAGATTTCGATTAAATCGTAATTTAAAAGAAAATAGGGGATAATTTAAAAGAAAAAAAGGGGAAGTTGGGCGAGAGGAAGGTGGCCGTAGAAACACAATTGAGGTATACGAGTTGGTTCTTACAACCTATCTTTTCCAGAATACAGAGTTACAGAAAAAAAAATAAATGAAATACCCCACTTCTTAGGAATGCACCCATAGCGAACGCCTTCAGATTTGCATTTGGTAGTCTCATCGTTCCTACAGTTGCTCGGTCCTGCTTCTTCCCTGACAATGTTGAAATCGTCATCCACTATCGCCTTGAAGGGACACGCAGAAGTATCTGACCTACAACAGTGATGTCAGTGATCCTTGTTCTATTCAGTAGGTTGTCGGCAAAGTGCACGATCCAACCAGTGAGGAAATTTCAGTAATTCTCGGTAACAGGTAGAATCTCGGTAACATTCTTTCAAAATTGTAACCTCAAAGAAGCTTTGTTTCCAGCCCAAATAATAGCTAGGACAAACGGGTCGGGGAAATCCACTTATGCATGCAGACAATCCCAGAAAACTACATTGGTATTCCTGTCAGTACCTATCAAAACCTCTTTTGGTGCAACTTCATCATGAACAGTGTGAATGGAAAAAAAAACATATTTTTGCGGTGTTCCTGAAAACACACCAACCTATGCACAGCGCAAGCGAAGAAACGTGACTTAATTTGGCCTTTCTCTCTTTCTCCGAATAGTAGACATGGCCCTGAAAAGGATGGGTCTTATGACGGACACTATCTCACAAGTCTTGTTAATGAGCTCTATCACTTGTTATTCTGTAAGTATAAGATGCAAGCTTCTTGGAAACGAACACAACCGGCTTTACATTCCCTAGGCGGGATCCGGACATCGCCGCACAAGCCACACAGCGCATGGAGTCCGAAAACAGCATCCAGAAAGTAACCCTCCACCGCCAGTTTTGCGCATTTTCAAGCGGTCTACAGCTGAGCCTATCCACCTCGCAATGACGAAGACCCATGTTGCAGGCGAGCGCACAGCGTATATCCTAGGAAGCACGCCCTGCGATTAAAAATCGTTGACTGAGGCACAAATACTTATAGCAAAATGGTAAATCGATGGTGAAGAAAAAAAATGTCCAAAGTTTCCAAGATAGGACCCCTGCCTAAGAAAAGGTGGGCATAAACGAGATCTCACTTATTGGAAACATAACGACATCAATTCTTTCCCCTTACCATCTCAACCTCGCCACAGGAAACAGCTAGTAGCGGACCAGCCGCACCATCATGTCGCCGTTATAAAAGGACGCTGGGCGAAATGAGACAGTGAGTGAGCACTGCCCTGCTTCGTCACGACCCTGTAGCCTTCGCATTGCGTATTTTTGAGCAGCGGAAGCGGTTAGCTTGCGGACTGGCCACCTTGTCCAACGAAAGCGCTTGCACATTGAATGAACGGGAACGCGCCTCCAAGACGGTTCGGGACTGGTTATATTCAGCATATTTAATTGGATTTTAGTAATTAGTGCTAGGCTAGTATAGACCACAGCCAAAAGTATAGAAAACAGAAAAAAAAATCAAACTCGCCGTGAGGACAATGAGGTATTGCATTGCACCCAGAAGTGGGCAAGACAATAAACGCTCCACGCTTCCGCAACGTTGAGTCAACTTTTACACGAACATCATCTACCTTTCTTCTTCTTGAATACAATGTTTCGGTTCTTGGGATGAGCAAAAAATTTCTTCTTTTGGTTCTTGGATTTCTTCTTTGACATTTCGCTGCAGGACCTAATATTCAGTCATCGAAGCTAGTGGAGGAACTCTTTCCCAAAGATAACCATGATCAGACTAGCTTTGAAAGACGCAAAACACAATTCAGATATAAATATTTATTCGAAACCGGGAAACAGCAAAGCTACACGTCTACATATTGTAACATCCTAAATATTCACATTCTAATTGGACGAACACGACCACAGATCAAACATTGTAACGATACACACCAAAGAAGATTCCCTTCTTCTAATTTGGGAGCTCAGAGCGAAAATACCATTCGGAAAGCTTCAGTGATGCCCACATCGTTGGTGTTGAAGTGGAGAAGCCCTAGAATGTATTGCGATTGTGTTAGGATAGCAGCTGTTCATGACTCGGCCACAAAACCTTCTTAGGTTGCGTTCATACTTTGCGCCATCGATCATAAGCGTCCCCCAGCTGTTTCAGGCGTACGAACGCTCCCGCGACTCTAGCGCCAGCTCTAAGAAAGTATGGATATCGATCTAGCCATCGTCCACCAGCGTACAGTAGCGTCCAGGAAAAAAGAGAGTATGGGAAACCAGGAGGGTGACAGAGAGCTGGATTAGGCGTAGAGT